CCCCAGTGGTAACATCTTGCATAGCTGTATACAACGTCCAAACAGGGAAATGGATATTGGTAAAATCCTCCGACCTTATTCAACTTTCACCAAGCCTCTCACTTTTAATTCTGTGTGTAACTGAAAGGCACCACTTCCGCTGCTGCGATTTTTGCCCAAGCTGCCGTAGCGTCTCCTAGGATTCCTGCAGTAAATATCCTACTGATTTTTTGTTTCTACTCTTTTCTCCTCCAGTCCATTTCACACTGAGCAGCAAGAGGGATCTTCTAAAAACATTAGGTCAAATCCTTTATCATTTCCCTGTTTCCCTTAGAATTAGATTCAAGCTCTTCACTGTGACCTGTAAGGCCCCACGGGACCTGGCTCTTGCCTGCCTCTGCAGTGACACCCCTGGCCCCTGGCACCTCGAGCCAGCGCGCCTTGCCTTTACTGTCCCTCTGCCTGCGTGCACTTCCTGCCCCTCTTGAAAAGGCCAGCTTCTCCTCCAGGCCTCCGCCCCGCGGCCCTCTCCCCGGACTCTCCCTGGCCACCCAGACTAAAGTGTCCTCCTATCCCTCCCATGTGTAGATGATCCCAGTCTATGCTCATCGGACTTAGTCGCTGGTTTACTTGCTTCATGTCCACGTCCTGTGCGAGGATGTAAGTTTTATGGGGTGGGAACCTGTCTGTATCGTTCACCGCTCTGAGCTTGTCACCCTGCCCGGGTGATCACTCCCCGGCACGGAGCGTGCGCTTGGTGATGGTGGGAACGAGGGTTGCCTGGGCCAGGGACCCTGATGATGGGCTTGTGTGCTCAGAGAGCTGCTGTATCAGCCAGCAGTGGTGAGCTGCCCTGCAGAGAGGCTAAGGCTGGTCCTCCCACTGACTCCACAAAGGCTTCCCCTCCCTCTTCCACTGTTTCTCAGGACATAGAAGAAATAAAATAAAATTTCTTTCTTTGTAATCGGCGTATAACACAGTAGAGCCTGCTTTTTGCGCTAACTCCTACTCATGACTCCTCCTGTGGGAAACCCGTTAGCCTGGCAAAGGGCCCTACTTATATATTCCCACAGCACTTTATGGGGGACTAATTTTCTTTTAATGAAATCCACCCGTTTTCAGTATACAGTTTGATGAATTTTGACTCACTCGTGTAAGCACTCATGTAAGCACTCCAGAAAGTTCCCTTGTGCCTAGGCTGCTGCTGCTTTTTAAAAATTGTGCTGAAATGTATATAACATAAAATTTACCATTTCGGCCGTCCTTAAGGGTGTGGTTCGGTGGTGTTAAGTAGGTTCTTCGTATTGTGCCTCTGTGACTACCATCCATCTCTAGGATGTTTTCCACTTTGCAAAACTGAAACTCTCTACCCGTCAGACCTGAACTCCCCATTGCCCCGTCTCTCTCCCTCCCCCAGCCCCCAGTAACCACCAGACTGCTTTCTGTCTCTCTGAATTTGACTTTGGATTCTTTTTTTTCCTATTGTGGTAAAAAAATACATATGAGATTCATCATCTTAACCATTTTTAAGTGTGTAGTTCAGTAGGATTAAATAATAGCTTATTTTAAAATATTTTTAATGTTTATTTTATTTCATTAAAAATTTTCTTTAAATGTTTTATTTCATTTCTGAGAGAAAAAGAGAGGCAGCGTGAGCAGGGGAGGGTCAGAGAGAGAGGGAGACACAGAATCTGCAGCAGGCTCCAGGCTCTGAGCTAGCTGTCAGCACAGAACCTGATGTGGGGCTCGAACCCACGAACCCTGAGATCATGACCTGAGCTGGAGCTGGTTGCTTAACCAACTGAGCCACCCAGGTGCCCCTACTTATTTCATTTTTAAGTTAATTTATTTTGAGAGAGTGTGTGTGCATGTGCTCATGAGTGAGGAAGGTGCAGAGAGAGAGTACCAAGTAGGCGCTGTGCTGTCAGTGCAGAGCCTGACATGGGGTTCGATCTCATGAACTGAACCATGAGATCATGACTTGAGCCAGAGTCGAGAGTAGGACACTTAATAAACTGAGCCACCCAGGTGCCCCGATGGCTTTTTTAGGGTATGTTTAGATTTAGTTGCTAATGCAGAAAACTACACATGACAGTAGCACAAACACGGTAGTCCACAGCTGTTATGACAGCTCTACTATCACTAGGAACCCAGACTGCTGTCTTGTGCTTCTTCGTTTGTAACACGCAGCTTCTATCTCATAGTCCAAGATGGCTGCTATAGTTCCAGCCATCAGGTCCACATTCCAGCCAGCAGAGAGGTAAACGGGGCAGAAAGGCATGCGTTTTTCCTTTAAGAGCACTTCATAGAAAGCACACATTATTTTGCCCTTATGGCCCATTGGAAAGAACCTAGCCACATAGACACCTCTTGCTGCAAGGGAACTGGGAAATGTAGTCTTTATTCTGGACCGTATTCTATTTCTCCCTGCGCTGAGATCAATTTCTTCTTCCTGGACTGCAGATTCCCTCAGCCAGGGGCTGTGTCCTTTAGGCACAGAGCTAGGTCCTTAATGTTTGTTGTACAAATAAGCGATTCCAGCTGAACCATCTTATTTTGAATATTAGAGAAGTGAGGCGTCGAATTGTGGAGTGACCAGGGTCATCGAGTCCAGATTCTGACCTAATTCAGGAACTGCTTTACTGGACTGGGCAGATGAGCTCCACTGAGCATGCCCACTGCTGGGCACTGCCCACCTCTGCTTCTGGGCAGCTCCAGCCAGCCAGGGCCCCTTCTGGGTGTGGAGCCAAACTTGGTCTCCCGGGAACTCTCCCACATTGTCCCCTACACCACGTGTCCACTTTCCATACCGTCCCCTGGCTCCAGGCTTTCCTTTGCCAGGTACAGATGCCTCCTGTGGGTCTTCACAGGATGTGAACTTCCCTGGGGCTGAGAGCCCTGGGCACGAAGGCAGCCCACCTTTGTCCTGGGCTGTGTGGAAGAGAGCTGATGGCCCCCACACTTTTCTGGTTCTCTGAAGGTCTCCAGCTCCAACATTTCCTCTTCTCCTGAGATGGCTGCTTTCTCATGTAAAGGCAGACATGCCCTTCGAAGCACGGAAGCTGCAAACACAGGGAGGGGACCGAGGTCACGCTGAGAAGGCTGGAGGACGCAGGTCACAGGTACCCCAGACACTGCGTAGATTTATTGGTTGGCCTGTGAAAGTCCCTGCGTCTCTGCATGGTGGCCTCCTAGCCCTTTCCGAGGGAGGTGCTAGATGCTGGAGAGACCTTAACACTGTGCCCTGTGCAGCTGGTCCTCTGTCTCAGTGGATGATCGGGTCAGAAACGGGGGTGTGGAATGGGGCTTCTGTTGCTGTTGAGCAAGAAGAATCCAGGCCCCAAGGTAGGGACTGAGACGGCTGAGGGGGATATGGGAGAGGGGTGAGGAGGAATAGGGAGGAGGTTGGTGGGCTGGGGTCTGGGGCATGTGTTCAGAATCTAGGGCAGGCTCCCACCCTCTTTATGGTTAGCCATGTCATTGTGGACATCCCAGAGAGGACCCGATGGCTGTCGTGGCCTGCCTCTGAGAGCCCGGGTCTCTCCCAGCACCCAGCATGCTCTTTCTGGGTTGGCTTATGTTGTGAGGCCTGACGACCCAGGCTTTAAGTGGTAGGGCCCCCTTTAGGGCCCCCTTATTTCTCTCTTCTCTTTTCCTGCCTTCCTAGGGCCCCTGATTCTCTGATGGCCTCTGTGGCTTCTTAAACTGTCCTCCCCCAAGCGTGGCTGTGGTGGTAGAGGGGGTGGGGGGAGGGGCAGCGCTGTCTCCCCAGGACCCTCTGCGGAGTGTGGCTGCTAAACTCCAGGGGAGCCGCCCCAGGGTATGACCAAGGCCACAGAGGAGGCTTTACCCAGGGGTTCTCACAGTTGAGGCTTCACACCTGGCTTCTCAGTTCCTTCTCAGTCCTAGTTTTAACTCTTACCACTCCAAGGGTGGCATTCAAACTCCCTTCTCCCACAGAGGCTCTTATTATTTTCTTGGCATGGTGCTCCAAGCCCCCAGCAGAGCTGAACGAGAGGAACCTGTGTCCGTTGGTGTCCTCTGGAGACCCCAGGCCGGCTGCACCATGCTGGGTGATGGGGGCCTCATGGTCGGTAATACAGGCGGCTCTGTCTCCCAACTCACAGCCTTCTCTTTGGGCGTGGCTGCTGCGCAGGACTGCAAGGCACAGGCATCAACAGGAGGTGTCAGGAAGAGTGGGAGCAGGGGGCATGAATTTAGATCCTGGGCTTCTAAGTAAATGCTTAGAATCAGCCTGCATTGTGGGAAATACCAAAGGAATAAGCCTTTGCATAGTCACCACCCCCTTCCCCCAAATCTCAGGGGGAGGCAAAGCCGAGAAATCTCTCTGGGGGAACCTGGAACCACCTCATGATCCTGTTCCAGCTCCCGCGCGTGGATGACCCGGATGTTCACATTCTACTCATTGACTCTTCGGGGAGGGAGCCGGGCACAGGCCTCGCTGTCCCCCCCTCTCCCCCCCCCGCCCCGTCCAGTCCTTTATATGGTCATGTTAGATTTGAGAAGACATGCTGTCCTTACATCTTGAGGACCTGCTCAGCTCCCATCTGCCACCTGCTGTGACTCCTCTCAGTGTCCCAGTACCTACCCTCTCTCTCTAGCAGATGTAACTTGCGGGGGCATTTCCGAGAACAGCCAGATCGGAGAGGGAAAAGCAGGCTCTACACCTTAGCACTTGCTGGCCTCTTGGGCCATGTGGCTTGGCCCCCATGTTGGCAGGTTAGTCTGTCGTTCCTGCCAGATGAGTCAGCAGAGGACGGGACATTCATTTCTTCGGGCACATGTGCCAGGTTAGAGTTGCTCTGAAAAGTCTTGCATGGAGTGGCCCCCCTGCCTCCACCCCAACCAGGGGCAGCAGGGAGGGGAAGGGCTGATGGAGGCAGGGAGGAGGGAGAGAGAGAGAGAGAGGGCCGCTGGGACCATCTAGGTAGGTGCACAGCAAAGGGGAGGGAGGCGGGCCTGGGGAGAGATGGGGGAGCAAAGCAGAGAAAGGCGAGAAGACGGATTCCAGAGCCTTGGTTTTATTATACGGTTTTCTTTTTCCTCAGTGAGTTACAATAAGCTGTGGTGGCAGGGCACACAGTCACAGGACAGGGCACAGCGGCGGCTGGGGAGCTGGGTGTTGGGAAAAGCCATCGCTCGAGGCATGTCCCGCTTATGGGTCTCAATGCACGGGCTGCCTCAGACACCACCCCCCCCTCCTGCCCCCAGGCCAGGTCCCTGAGAGGGCAGGCCTGTGGGGCAGAGGGTGGTCTCAAGGCTTGTCCACTGGCCAGCAGAGGGAGGGGCTGGAGCTGACTGGGGAGGGAAGGAAGAGCCTCGCAAACACTTGGGCCAACGTCTGCTCCGCTCTGGGGCTCTACCTGGCCCGACTCACTGCCTTGCAGGTCAGAGTTCTGGAAGCTCTTAAGAGCTTGGGCCAGGCTGGGAGGACTCCTGTCCTCTGCCGCCCTTTCAACCACTGCTTGAGGTGGTGAGCAACAGCAGGCTCTCAGTTTTAGTTTCATCAGGTTAGAGAGGCCCGATGGACCCTCTCTTCTACGCCTTCTCCAACCCTCCATTAGCATTTCTCCCGGGCAGAACCTGCGTTTTCGCACCAGGCCTGAGGTCCCGAGGGCACCTTGGCAGTGGAAAACAGATGGCTTCTTGCTGTAGCAGAGGGTGCTCCTGGACATGCTCATTCTCTCCTCTTGGGATGGGCCCCAGATGCTTGGCGGTGCCCTCACATCCGGGGTCTTCGGGCACCCTTCCTGCCTGCTGGGGGATGTGCCAGGCCCAGATGCACCCCATCCTTCTCCTCATCCAGGTCTCTCCGGGGCCTCTGGTCCTGGTGGGCAAGGATGACCCCTCCCCCCTAGGGACTGGCACCCCTCCATCCTTCTACCCCTCCCATGCCCTCACCGTCCATCACACCCCAACCCTGGCTTCCCTTTTCACAAACTCCCAAAGTAAAGGAAGGATAAACCAGATAGAAGCAACTCTGGAACAAAGAGTAAAAAAACAACAACAAAAAACCAACCCAAAAAAAGACAGCCAGTGGCGTGCGGGGAGGGTGTGAGCGGCAGTGGGGCGGGGTGATGGGTAGATAATGGCATGCGGCACTGGGGTTCTTTGTGAGGGGTGGGGTCCCCATTTCTCCCCGGGGTGTGTGAGGGATTGAGGGGGGAGGTCAGCCAACTCCAAGAAGTAGGGTCTCTGGACTGGGCCTTGTGGCTTCCTGCCCAGCCAGTCACAGGGAGATGAAGTCCATGGCCTGCAGGAGAGGCAGGGAGAGCAAGAGCAGCAACAGCCACGAGGTGTTCTGGGCCAACAGGCTTATGCCCTCACACTTGACCAGTTTGTCTGCGGAGAGAGAACGGGCAGGAGTGAAGAGGGACCGGGATTCAGGCAGCCACAGGCCCCGAGCAAGGGCACATTCCCTTGGGGAGGCCGGTGTCAGGATGCCTCCTGACAGAATCGGGGCCCGTCTGCTCTAGCAGGACCATCCGTCTTCCCCGTTGGCAGGTTCCTGAGCTCTTGAACAAACATCGTATCAAATCTTCATTAAGCACCATCCAAAGAAAACTATGGGTGAGGCAGCTAGTGTCATCCCTGTGTTCTAGGCGGGGAGGAGGAGGGCTGGGGAGGCCAGCCCATTTGCCCAGTCACGGTGGAAGTGCTCCACCACTCTGCCTGTCTCACTGTTCCCTTCGCCGTCCTCCCTCTTCACACAGAAGGCAGTGGTTCCCCAGGGCCCCGGCAGTTGGGGGAAGGAGGAGAGAGGTTTCTGGGGCCCCCGTCTTCTTCGGCCCAGCCAAGGGGGACCGCCTGCTGTCCTTGCCAGCCCTTTCTCCCTAGCCCCCCTCCCCCAGCTCACTTGGCCTTGTTGGGAGCTTGCCTCACCTCTGAGCACAGAGACATTCTTGCTGGAGGTGGTAGTAGGCTGGCCGGAGAGCTGGAGTTCACATGTGTACATCCCCTCGTCCTTGGTGGTGAAGCTGGATAAGTAGAGGACCTTGATGTTGTACTTGCTGGTGAAGTTGGTTCGGGAGCGGTACGAGTGCTCAGGCACCCCCATAGTGCCAAAGATCACGTGCTTCTTCTTCTCACGGGTTATGCTGAACTCATACTGGATGGGCGAGGTGGTAGAGTTCTCATGGCGGCAGTCCAGACGGAGGCTCTGGTCCACCAGGCAGGCTGTCAGGCTGGTCACTTTCTGCCCACGGGCTACCTGCAAGACTGGCACCGGCAGTGCCCACTCCCAAGTTGGGGGGCCTGCAGAGCAAGGGGCCTCCCACCCACATTAACAGTAGGAGATGGCCTGGCCAGGGAGGGCACAAGGGTCTGTTCTATGGGCACCCTTCCCCACCCCAGAGGTCCCCTAGGGCCAGTTCAACCTCCCCCTTATAGACTACCCCCCCATTTTCTTTAGTCCTGGGTGTTTCAGAGGCAAGAGATCTTGGGGAGTTGATGTCGGTTCCTGGTTCTCATTTGGAGATTCCACTTCATTGTGGGACAGACTCCGTGGATTGCATTTCCAAAGACCACCTCAAGCGGTCAGATCAGCAAGGCTGCTCAGCCGATTTAGGGATGAAAAAGAGCCTTCTCGGGGCACCTGGGTGGCTCAGTCGGTTAAGCGTCTGACTTCGGCTCAGGTCATGATCTCATGGTTCATGGGTTCAAGTTCTGCGTCAGGCTCTGTGCTGACAGCTCAGAGCCTGGAGCCTGCTTCAGATTCTGTGTCTCCCTCTCTCTCTGATCCTCCCCTGCTCATGCTGTCTCTCTCTTTCTCTCAGAAATAAATAAAAAACATTAAAAAAAAAAAAGAAAAAGAGCCTTCTCTCCCTTCGTCATCTCCGCCTTCTGAGGTTGAGGGGAAGGAGCTCACTTCTCTGAAGGGAAGGAAGCCAGTGTGCTTGGAATCCCAGCCCCACCCCTTGCCCAGTACCTGTCAGCAGAACAGCGATGCCGATGGTGGGGTTCATGGTGCAGAGAGCTCAGTCCTTGATCTGGGGGTGGGATAGGATGGCTATCAGCCTAGAGGTGGGGCAGGTGTACCCACACTTCCTGCTCAGGCTGGAGGGCCTGTGCCATGATGGCCTCTGGCTCTGGCAGCCATGCACGGTGCTCTCCATGGTTGTTCTCTCCCGTTTACTAGAGAATGTGACACTGCCACTAAGTGCTTACCCCCTCCAGGAAGGCAAGGGGGAGGGAGGACATACCCTGTAATGGTGTGCGCTTTGAGTAAATGACTTTCACCGTTTCCTTTTCCCTTCAGGAAGGCAGGGACTTTCCTATTTTTTAACTGTGGCAAAATAGACATAGCATTTACTCCCTTTATCGTTTTTAAGTGTCTGGTTCAGTAGTGTTAAGTTCACTCACATCGTGGTGCAATCTCCAGAACTCTTTTTATTTTGTGACACTAAAACTGTACCCATTCCACAAAAACTCCCCATTCAGGGACTTTCTGTTTCTTGTTCAGGAGAAAGTCCCCAAAGAGTTCCTGGCATATAACGGATGCTCAGAAGATATCGAATGAATGAATGAATCAGCTTTAGTTCCTCCAGGGTGGCGATGGGTTTAGGAAAAATGATACACATCTGGCACTGAGGACTGCTCCATGGTAAGTGACCCACGGACATTCATTTCCCTCTGCCGAAAGGACTGTGTGGCTAAGATGCTTCCAGATAGGGCTGTACCCAGCACACAGCTAAGGTTCTCCCGAATATATTTGAGGGAAAGCGACTGTGCTCTCTGATTGCATATGTCCTCTGCTTGCATAGGAACCAAGATGTTTCCAAATGTTCAGCCCTCTGGGCATGTCTCTTAGCCCTGCTACAGCAGACTCCCTGTCTAGGCTCTCTGCCTTGTCTTTTTTCAAAGCCTGCTCAGGACCAGCATCCGGGCAGTGACACGGAGCAGGTAGCTTGGCCTGTCCGACTGGGTGGTGCTCACTAGGGAGAGGCCGCTGGAGTGGCTTGCGCCTGGGAGTGTGCGCAGGGGGGCCCTGCCCTGGTGCCTGCGCCCAGGTGCACCTTGAGCCAGATGGATCCAAGGTCCCGGGCGCTCAGCCCTGAGGCTGGGGGAGGCTGGGGTCCCGCGATGCCAGGGCCTGCAGTGCACCCTCGGAAATATAACTGAGAGGACCCTGGAGGTGCTGTTGGAGCGGAAAGGGGGTCGGCATGTGGCTCTGATTCGCAGACACTGAGTCACGGAGGAGGGGTGCAAGCTTGTGATCTAGGAGGGAAAGGGGAAGCCTCAGCTACAGCGGAAGGAATGGGGCCGGGGCTGGAGGAGGGATGGAGAGCCAAAGGGGTGGTAAGAGAGCGGCAGGGGAAGCACAGATGTTTTTATTTTCCCTCCTGCCCAGTGTCCTGCAGCCCAGAACCCAGGGAAGTTCTGCGCTCCCACCTTCTCTAGCTGCTGTTTGGCTCGCCCCATCCTCATTCCGTTTCTGAATTTCACCCGTCTCCTCTCCCAATTGAGGTCCCCCTTCCCCCTCCCACCCTTTCTCGGTTCTCCCCTCCCCCGTCCGCCCGCCTCCCAGTCCCCGCCCGCGGCACTGCGGTTTCCCTTGTCCTTTGACGCCCCACACCCAGCCCTCCGAGAGGTTGCAGGGCAGAGATTCCCTTCATCCGTTCTCCGATTTCACCGCCCCCAGCTCACGCCTCGGCGAGCTCGGTTTGGGGGTGTCTGTGTGGAGAGCAGAACCCAAGGCTCTCTGTCCTTGGCGCCCTTCCTCTAGATTCTCCTCCTGCGCCCCAGCCCCAGACAGCCGGTCCCTTTAGCAGGTGAAAGCCCGGGAGCTCCTTCCGCAAAAGGTGGGGTGCGGCTCGGCCCCTGGCTTGCAGCAGTTGCGTCCCGCTCACCCCTACCTGGGAAGCCGACCCCTACCCGAGCACCGCGAAGCTCCCAGCCGGGGGCGCCCCCAAACCTTTTCCCGAAGCCTCGGGGTGGGAGGACTTGCATGGGCGCGCTTGGGGGCTCTCCCAGCGCCCCGGGTCCCGCCCTGGCTCCTGCTCCCACCTGGGCTCCAGTCCTCCGCAGCCGCCGCTGCAGCCTGGCCCGGACGCTCCGCCGCCTCCAGTTGCAGCACCCCGCCGGCGCCCGCAGTTTTCACCGAGGGTGGGAGTGGGGGAGCGGGGAGGGCCCGACGCTCGGCCAATCAGAGCTCGAGTGGGGAGGTGGGGGCAGCGAGGAAGGAGGGAAGAGGGAGGAGGAGGTAGCCTGTTATAGATGTAGGAGAGTGGCCAGTCTGCCGCAGAAGGGGGACCTCACCCTGTGGCTGGCAAGCCAGGCCAGCGACGAGAGGGTTCAGGACCCCGGGGATCAGGGTGGGGCAGCGTAAGGAACACGAGGCGCCTCCCAGAACCCCGAAACGACTGCTCCCCTTTTAAGGGTTTAACCGTTTCTCCTGACCGAGGCTTCAGAAGCCTGTAGGAACACCAAAGGGTACGGAGTGGGGGACTCAGGCCAGCCACCCGCCCCTTTGGTCAGTGCCCACGCCTCCTCCTGCCCCCTCCTTTCCTTTTCATCTGGAACCCATCTCCCTGGAGCCTCCAGTGAGGAGTTTTGGAGTTGGAATATTCCAGGCTTTCTCCAAAGGAAGATGGCGGGGTGTTTTTCCACACTGGAGGGGCTCTCCAGAAGCAAGCAGGCATTGCATTCTGCTGGTCCTTCCTGATCCTGAGTTCTGCCCCACTCCCTCATCCATCCTAGAACACCCAGCCGTTCCAGGGCTTTCGGCTCTGGGGCACTCAGTCTCCCGCAGCTCCCGGGCTGGCACCTCCCAGAACAGACAGCCAGACAGCGGAATCCAATTCTTCTCGATTTCACATACTGCTCCTGATTCTAACCCTCCCCCCAACCTCCCCCCTCTCCCCCATCCCTGAGTAGTGAGTAACTGCTTGCTTGGTCTCCCCACAGGAGCAGAAATACTGTTTGCTGCCAGACACTGTGCAGGGCCCATTACATCCGCGGTTGTGCTGACCCCACACGGGGTGCATCCCATCCCACTCCGCATCCTGTTTCATGGCTAGTGAGTGGGACAGCTGGCCTGAGCCGTGAGACCCCAGGTCCTCAGTGCTGAGCCACTCCATTCCTGCATCTCAGCCCAGGGGGAGGGGACATTGTGGAACTGTGGGGGAAGGGGAGGAGACAGGGATGTCTAGAAAGGAATAGAGAAAGCCAGGCGTTTAATCTCCTGGGGCACCTGCCTGAGCTCTATCAATTTCAAGTCACCAGAAGCCCTTGGGTCTTTTTTTTTTTTTTTTTTTTTTGGTGGCCAGTGCCAATGACTTGTGTCTCCCACCCACAGGTGAGGTGAATTTTTTTGACGAAGGTTTATTTGGTTGATTTGCATCCTCATGGCCTTTTTGTGAATTCTGGTTGGGACATCCTCTGAGCTGGCCCTGCCTCCCGGCCATCCGCCTGCCCATTCTCCTATTTCTTCATAGCAGTCAGCCCTGGCACCTTAACTGCGGGTTCCATTACTGTAGTAACCCTGTTGGAAGTCATCCCTGGGCTAGCAAGTGGGAGATTCACTTCCCTCTCCTTCCCCGGGAGGGAAGGTGACCTCCCAGCACTGAGAATGATGGAACTTGCTAACTGCAAGGAGCTCCGAGGATGGTCTGGTCTGGGGGTCACTCACTGTGGTAAACAGCAGACACTCTGGAGGCGTTTTATCACAAATGCAGTTGTCCCTGCCCACCTGGGGTCTCCCTAGTCTAGTATTCCTGCTGCCTGTGTCTGCACTTTTCACAGGCTCCCCAGGGTCTGGGAACTGCAGAACACTGGTCTGGTACGACCATCCTCTCTTGGTAGGTCAGACGGTCTGGCTTCTCATTGTCTGTAGGATAATTTTTAAGGCCCTGGATGTCCTGGCTGTCAGCCTTCACCACCATTTCATCTTGCCCATTTATCTTCCTGCATATCCCAGAAATGCTGGCCTCCTCCCTGTCACTCCCTGCATTGTGTTCTTCTTCTTTTTTTTTTTTTGCTTAACAGATTCCTGATTCTCAGCCCAGGGACCTTTCCTACCAGAGCACAGTTGTTTTAGGCTAGGGCCTATCTCTCTCCTCTCTCTCTCTCTCATACACACACACACACGCACACGCACACGCACACGCACACGCACACACAGGTGGGACTGGAGACAGTTCCTTTTTTTTTTTTTTTTTTTGTTTTTGCAGAACATGGGGGATACCCAGAGGCCTTTTAACTACAGAAGCTGTCTGGGCTCTGGCTGGACAAGACCCTGGATGCTGTGTCCCACTCTGTGGCAGAGACTCTGAGTGTTGGTTGGATGGAAAGCCTCGCTGTGCTATTTTGATAAGGTTACGGGGACCTGGCCTACTTTCTGGGTCCCTAAGCACTTTACTTCAGGAAGGGGAGGGGAGTGTGGACTCCAGAGGTATAGCAGTTGTGTGTTTGCTAAAGCAAGATCTCTGGCTGACTGGAAGTAAGGGTTCACCTGAGACAATCTGGGGGCGGGGATGGACCCCAGGATGGTGAAGGGGAGATTTAAAAATTCCCACTTGCTGAGTACGTAGGTGGCTCAGTAGTTTAAGCGTCCATCTCTTGATTTTGGCTCAGGTCATGATCTTGTGGTTTGTGGGATCGAGCCCCACGTTGGGCTCTGCACTGGCACGCTGGTAGTGCAAAACCTGCTTGAGATTCTCTCTCTCTCTGTCCCTCCCCCACTCACCTGTGCATGGTCTCTCTCTCAAAATAAATAAATAAACGTTAAAGAAAGATTATAAAATAAATAAACTTAAAAAAAACCTCCTCCCATTTGTTAATGGGACAGGATCAGGGTGCTGAAAGCAGGGAAGGCTTAGAGCAATCCACTCAAAGCAAGATTTCCTTGACATCCTGTGGTTCTCTTGTTGGTTCCTTAGAATTAACTCTCGTATCATCTCCAGTTGCCCTAGCCAGAGACACATGGGGTAGAAACTCCTCTAAAAATGCATATTCCCTTAGGATGACCATAGGACTCCCAGGCGTTCACTCTTTTTATTCACCGATTTCATCAGATTGGGCTTATAGAATCGCACAGGTGACGGAAGCTGTCTCATCATTTAAAAAAAAAATTTTTTTAATGCTTTTATTTATTTCTAGGAGAGAGAGACAGACAGCATGAGCAGGGGAGGGTCAGAGAGAGAGGGAGTCACAGACTCTGAAACAGGATCCAGGCTCTGGGCTGGCAGTCAGCACAGAGCCCGAAGGGGGGCTTGAACCCACGAACCGCGAGATCATGACCTAAGCGAAAGTCGGACGCTTAACTGACTAAGCCACCCAGGCGCCCCAGCTGTCTCATCATTTTATAGCTGGAAACTGAGGTCCCAGAGGAAGTGATTTGCCAAAGGACCGACCAATACTTCGGAGCACTACCAGGACTAGCTATATCCTAGATCTCCTGACTCTGCATATAGTGCTCTCCACTGCTCCCGGGGTGGATCTTCAGACTTCTGCTAGACCGATTTCTCTCGTCTATGGTGAAATAAGAGAAACGAGGACAGTGTGGGATACTCTAAACATAGACATCAGGTTGCCACCTTGTTCTGATCACCTCCTCCTCACTGTGCTGATGAGGGAGGGATTGTTACCCTTGGGTTTCAGAGACGGCCGAAGACGTGGCACCTGACACAGGCAAGTGAGATCGACAGCAGGTTGTCGGTCACGTGTGCTCACAGCCCAGAGGAGGACACCGCACACATGAGTTGCTCAGTGGAGTGAAGAGCCAGAAGCCAGCTTTGTTGGCTAAGTGGTAGGATGGCCATTTCCAGCTGGAGGATTTGGTTGGCTTGTTGTGGGCTGGCATGGAACTGAAGCCTGCTGCTCAGGGATAATCAGGAACCGTGCCTAGTCCCCATGATAAGGAGGGTCGATTGGCTAGGGGAACTCCTTAGCAGGAGCTCAGCTGGAAGAAGGACCTGTGGCGAGGCCATTGAGGTGCTCTAGATTTTATCAGATGTCAAGACAGCACATACTGTTGAGTCCCTACTTGGGGCTCCTCGAGGTCTTATGCCACATACCTTGCCTTCCTTGGGAAGGCCTGTGTTCTCCTTCTAAGGTTATACTGTTCTGCTTCTTTGAAGTGGTGGCCTGTGTTTTTTTTTTTTTTTTTTAATATATTTTTTTAAATTTATTTCTAGGAGAGAGAGAGAGAGAGAGAGACAGTGTGAGCAGGGGAGGGTCAGAGAGAGAGGGAGTCACAGACTGAAACAGGCTCCAGGCCCTGAGCTGGCAGGCAGCACAGAGCCTGACGCGGGGCCCGAACCCACGAACCGCGAGATCATGACCTAAGTGAAAGTCGGACGCTTAACCGACTAAGCCACCCAGGCTCCCCAAGTGGCCTGTGTGTTTTTAATGCCCAAAGGCAAGAAAGGAAATTTGGTGATTTTGCATTAATCTGCAGATTTCTTTGGAAACATGACTGGTCTCTGAAATTCAAACATCTTGGAATCAAGGGCTCTACTCTGTGCTGCCTCTCCTAGTCTCCAGTTGAGGTCAACTCTCCAAGTGAGGTCACTGTCTGAAGAAGTGCATGTTTGGTTGGAGAGTATGACCAACATAAAAGTTAACTCTTAGAACACAGGGAAGAGAGCACCACGGAGATATAATAGTCAACATTTATTTTAAAACCTTTATTCATAGACATATGATTACATAACATTATCCTGGGCACAATAAACATCATTCTAGGCACGGGGCTAGACCCTGGGATTACAAAAATCAACAGAGCACAATCTTGGCCTTCAAAGGGCTGTCCAATGGGAGAGATAGAGATGATACAGAGATAATTAGAAAACAGTAGGGTAAAGGCAAAAGTAGAGATCCGTACAGAGTATTGTGGGGCCCCAAAGTAGGGAAAAGTGACAACCCAGTCTGTCAGAGAGGATTTCTTGGAGAAGAAGCATGAAATGGGTTTTTAAAGGTGAATGGGAGTTGCCCCGGTGTGGTAGATTGTTACATAAATGGTCACCAGTGAATCACGCATCCTGGTACCCATGCCTGTTGTGTGATTCCCTTCGGCTTGGCCGTGTGCCTTGTTTTGGCCAATGGGCCATCAGCAAATGAGATACAAACAGAAGCTTGGTAAGTCCTTG